TGGATATTTAATAACCATAAATAATATTATTAATGCATATAGAGTGCAAATGTCGTCATCCGTGTCTTAGAAAGATATCAATGCCAAAGCCGTTCTCTTTTATTTGCAGCTGGCCTCTCTCTGTGTTTCACATAATAGAACGCTGTATCTTTACAGAAAAGCTTTTTTGTACCAAACACTGTGAGTGGCTTCACCCTGCTAAGCCTTTTTGCATTGTGATCTATTATCCATGAGTGCTTTCTTACCATGTGAGCAGAAAATTTGAGGGGATTTTGTTCCCATCAGGAGAGATTTACAGATGTGTTTGCCTGGCCAGAGGTGAATGTTAGTGTGAGTGTTTCGAGAGAAATGATATAGAGGAATTTATATTCTAATATGATGAAAGAAGTTTACCAAGTGTTGGTGCTTTTCTGCTAATATGCCAACTATATAACTGAACTGGAACAAAATATAGATTGTGCTTTATTTATGATTTATGAAAAGATCAAAATGCATGGAGAAAATATATGCCAATAGTGATGATTCCACTGTTATAAATATCTCCTTGTCAAAACATGCTGTCAGGAAGCTACAAACATGAATTAAAATGTTACTGCCTGCAGCTTGTCACTCTACACATGTGCCATATCCAGACTTGATTTTGTATTTGGTTTTGTCCCCTTTTTTACCCTTTTGTATGTCTGAATCTAACTCTGAATGTTAATGTCAAAGTTTGAATGTTGAACTCCAGTTTGTGCCATTGCCCCATTTTTATTTATTTATATGTTTTATAATTGTTTTATTTATAATTTTACTGTTGTAAAGATAAATTAATAAATGCACCTTTGTATGTACAAATGAGCACTACATTTTTTAAGAACTTACAAATAAACGTGAAGGCGCTGAGAGCCCAGTACTTGATGTCTCTGTGTTTTTTGATTTCACCTACATAAGCCACATGTCTCATATACAGACATAATCAAATCTGTGGGATCCAAAGTCTGAGACCACAAGGAAAAATGCTTTTTATTAAAAAAAATCATTACAAGGAATATTCTCAATTTTGCAATATTGTTCTCCAGCATGATTTGAGTATATGTTCCAAAGAGAATCTTGTGAATCTTGAAAGTAAAAACAACTAATCTTTTGTACAAAGAGAGCTTGTATGATCAATATTACAAATTTTCTTCTTTGATTAGTGTCCTACAAATTGTGCAGGATAACAACCTTGCTGTAAAAAAACTTTAGTTCCTTTAACTATATAAAATATTTCAGACCGCCAAATATGGCATCAATATCAATAAAATAATTCAATTAAATGTCAATGAAGATATTAATTACTTATAAATTAGTGTCATTCATTCATTTTTAAGCCAAAATGGTCAAAAAGTACAATTTAATAGACTGAAATGTGTTATAAATAATTTTTCTATGAATATTTTGAATTTGGCTTCGCATTTCTCTAAGGTCGTAGTCTTTTAAACCTTTAAATGTTATACAAGCGTGTGTTCTCGCTAGATCTTTGTTCTTGAAACACATCTTCAGATGCACCTGAACACATCATCAGTGATGTAACCTGGGGTCCTCGGGTGTTTCGGGTCTTTCAACATCAGACACCCTCGCCCAGGCGACCCAGCCACGGCTGATCAGACAGCGACTTGTGTTCAGGTAGCACTCGCTTGCCCCCATGGTGCTCCTCTACGGATTCAGAGCCATCTCGAGGCTCTCTCGGCTGCGTCGGTGGTGTTCTTGATGGCCCTGCTCCTTGTTGTTCCTGCAATGCGCAGCGCAGTAAAGGCTTTGTGGAGGGAGCGCCCCACAAAGCCTCTGCAGCCAACCTCGATAGGCATGCATTTCGCCTTCCAGCCCTGTGCTCGGCAGTCTGTGACCAGATGTTCATATTTGGTCATCTTTCTTTCATGGGCTTCTCCCAAGCGGTCCTCCCATGGCACGGTCAGCTCCATGATGATTATATTCTTGGTGCTCTCTGAGACTAGAGTGATATCTGGCCTCATAGTTATGCTGACGATGTGCTGGGGGAATTTCAGCTGCTTCTCCAAATCCACCGAGAGTTTCCAGTCCTTGGCTGATGCCAGAATTCCTGCTGGTGCCTTCCTCCCTGCTTGTGGCTGTTCTCCTGCCCTAACAAATACGATTGAGCGAGTGGTGTTGCTGCCTCGGCCGCCTTTGCTGATCTCTTTGCTGATGGTGTCTGCAATAGCTTTCAGCACCTGGTTGTGACGCCAAGTGTAACGACCCTGGCCGAGCGCTGTTGGGCAGGAGCTCAAAATGTGCTCCAGCGTTCCACGAACTGGGCACAATTGGCAAGTTGGTGTGTCTGCTTTCCCCCACGTACAAAGGTTTGCTGGGCTAGGCAGGACATCGTACACTGCCCGAATCAGGAAGGTTATGCGGTGCGGCTCGCTTTGCCAGAGCTCCGTCCAGGTGACCTTGCGGTCCATGGCCTGCTCCCACCTGGTCCAGGTCCCCTGTTGCCCCATTCCAGCCGCTCTGCTTGTCCTTCCTTCCTCCACAGTAGCTCTGACCTCTTCATAAATTCGGCTGCGCTTCTCCTTCCCCTTCAATTCTTTATGTCGAGGAGGTGTTGGGAACATCCCCAAGCCTGCTCTGCCTCGGGCCACCACTCCCACAAGCTCTTTGTGCCGCAGTCGAGCCTGTGCATCCAGCACAGCGGCTTGGGCGCTCCACTTCCTCTCTGTCTTCACCAGCACTCCTGCCTGGGCCACCTTTGGGTCGTTGGAGTCTCTATACATCAGAACCTCACGTGCCCGAGTCACTTTAAACTCCTCTTCCAGGGATTTCAGAGCCAACCGGAGCATTGTGGTGTTTCCATAGAGGGCGATGTTGCTGAGACTCCTGGGCAACCCTAACCATCTCCTGAGACAGCTGCTGACCTTTCTTTCCAAGGTCTCCACCGTGGAAATGGGAACCTCATACACAAGTAGCGGCCAGAGTATTCTTGGCAGTATACCATGTTGGTAAATCCACGCTTTAAACTTGCCGAGGAGGCCAGAACGGTCTGTTGCTCTAAACCAGCTGTCCAGCTCCTGACCGGTCAACTGGACTGATGCGAAGTCTCTGAGGCTACTGTCAAAAACCTTGCCCAAGCTTTTCACCGGCTGTTCTGACAATGATGGTATCTCTGCTCCTTTGATGCTGAAATGGAACCTGTCCGTGACCTTGCCCTTCTTCAGCACTAGTGAACGGGACTTGGCTGGTTTGAACTCCATCCGAGCCCACCGGATGAGCTTTTCCAGCCCTTGGAGTATCCACCTGCCTCCTGGCACTGACTCTGTGGTGACTGTCAGGTCATCCATAAATGCTCTGATTGGCAGTTGGCGGACCCCTCCTCTGCTTTGGGGCCCCCGACACTCAGGCTCTGCCGATTTGACAATCATGTTCATAGCCACCGCGAATAGGATCACAGAGATGGTGCAGCCTGTGATTATTCCCACCTCCAGTTTGTGCCAATCTGATGTCACACCTCCTGCGGAGACTCTCATCCTGAAATGGTTGTAATAATCCAAGATCAGATCTGCAATATGCTGTGGCACATGGTGCTTGGTCATGGTGGTCTGGACCAGCTTGTGGGGGATAGAGCCATATGCATTGGCTAGGTCTAACCACAGTACCGTGAGGTCTCCCTTGTGTTCACGAGCTTCCCGGATGAGCTGAGTCACCACTCCCGTGTGTTCTAAGCACCCTGGGACTCCAGCAATTCCAATGCTCCTCACTGGCTTCCTTGTACCGCTTCTTGAGGGACTTCAACTCCTGCCGGATTTTGTGGATCTTCGCTGCTCTGTGGTTCATGGAATAGGTGGTTAGAGTTGATCGCTTCTCCTCGGCACCGAACCTCTCCTGTGCTAGGCTGGAGATGATGGTCGTCATTGCCTGCAGCCTTCGATCCACATCTCCCTTCTCTGTTGCTTCAAGCACCTTGTCAACGTCCTCATCGAACTACCTCCAGACTGCCGTCTTACAGGCCTGTGGCCACTTGATTCGCACCTTTGCCTGGGGCAGAAGACTTGGGGGGACGGTTAGTGGCACACGGAGGCTCTGAGCGCTATGGGGTGCTTCCTGGCTCGGCTCCTCCTGCGTCTCATCAGATGTAGCATCTGTGCGCTGACACATGTTCGTTCTCCAAACACTTCATCCTGGCTTGGTGGATCTTTAGGCCACGGCTGTTTTTGCAGGTTTTTCCGCACCTGCATACTGCGGTCGTTGTCGTTTCTCCATTGCCATTAGTCGGTAACCTTGGGTCTGTCAGATTGGGGTTCTCATTCTCCCCCCCTCTCGGGCTCCCCTGGGGGTATACTTCCATGAGTCGATCTGTAGCTTCAAAAAGGGTTCCTCCTCTCGGAGAATGTGGTTTGGGCTGCCAACCCTTCCCACCCCTAGTGCTGTCTTCCCAAGCTGCCAACTGTCTCTCCAGTAGTCACCAGCCTCTTCCTGGTTACCATCCAGTCTATTCTGAATCCTGGGAGTCACTGGCCTTGCCAGAACAGGTAGTTCTTGAAACACATCTTCAGATGCACCTGAACACATCATTAGTGATGTAACCTCTTTAAATATAGCAAAAGCTTTAAATGACATTTTTAAGATAAATAATCATATAAACATCAGAATAAGTGTACAATTTGGTTTAAAAATATCAAATAAATAATTTGTGGAGCTCACCAACTTTTAAAGTCTTTATAGCTTTTTACTCAAAGAGTCTTTAATTTCCTACGGTCTATGTACAGTCTTACTACAGTCAACAAACCATAAAACAGTTTTTTTTTCTTGCATTCATGAATCTGAAATGTGGCCAAAATTATAGCTAAATTAATTAAATAACAGCACTTTTCACCCACTTTAGGATATTCAGTGCAGGTACATTTTCCAATAAAAATGGGAGAGGTCTTAAACACTAAATATTTGAACTGATAAATTCCTGTCTCTCGCACTAAATCCTCTGCTGTGTTTCCTAAACTAATGTGTTGTGAGTCCACTCCGCATACGTCATTTTCCTGCGCCACACAGGTCGGCGCTCACTACTCATGTTTATTGGAACGAGTCGCGCTAGCGATCAACATGGCTTTAAGCAAAACATACGGACAGAAACCTATTAAATTCCAACTAGAAGAGGATGGGGAGTTTTACATGATTGGATCAGAGGTTTGTAATTAAACACACTTATCATTTTAACAAGGATTTATGTTTATGAACCGTATATTGCTTTGCATTTTGCTAAAAATACGTCAGCTAGCTAGCTAGCTAAGATTTGTTGTTGTTTATGATAAGATCAATAACTACTGAAATTATTGATGATTCCTTGAATTGAATCGGTCCCAGACATTTTACACATCAAGTACTGATGTATTATTTGCGGTGTAGTTGCATTATACACACTACTGGATTACCAGAGACCAGAGATAAACAGTACAGTCACTGACAGAACAGGTTATGGGTATTTATTTAGTCAATCCTAAATAATTTTCTGTTATGTGTCTATTTAGGTTGGAAATTACCTGCGTATGTTCAGAGGTTCTTTATATAAGCGCTACCCATCACTCTCAAGAAGACTTGCGTCAGTAGAGGAGAGAAAGAAGATAGTAGCATCATCTCACGGTAAGTGTTGAATTCACTGTGAACATTTGATAAGAGATCTGAGGACTGGGGGTTAAAAGTAAGGTGGAAATGGCACTTTCTATCTTAAAGTATAAGCAATGTTTTGTGTTAGATCACGGTTACACCACTTTAGCCACCAGTGTGACGCTGCTGAAGGCCTCAGAAGTAGAAGAGATATTTGATGGACATGATGAGAAGTACAAGGCTGTGTCAATCAGCACTGAACCTCCAGCCTATCTCAGGTAAAGCATTTCTCATCTTATGAAATGCAGTCACACTTGCTTCAAGTTCAAACATGCCCATTTCAGAGGTTTCTTCTTCATAATTCAAATTACAAAAAGGTGGAATTAATCATTCATTAAAGGTATAATTCACCCATACATAAATGGAAAATGTTATCATCAATTCCTCACTCTTGTGTCGTTCCAAACCCATAAGAAGTTTGTATTTCTTCAAAACACAAATGAAATCTGAGCGATTTCTGTCCCTCTATTGAAACTGTATATTCACCCAAAACTCAGATGGTTCAAAATGTTCATAAAGAGATCGACTTGTATTAAACCACTCAATTCAATTTTAATAGAATGTGCATTTTAAATTATTTTTAGACAACAATTTTTATCAGAAAATATATTAATGGACATTTTTTAAAAGGTTTCTCCTAGAATAATTTTAGAATTTCTATCATATATTAAATTAAAAGAGTCTGTATAATTGTTATTATTACTATTGTTGTTCTTGTTATACATGTATGTTTTTGTATATTGATTGTTTTGTGAAGACAAAATTGCTAAATTATTGTAAACGATGTATTGAAATGATATTACAATCATAATTTTTTTTTAATGAAATAATGTTGATTTTGCCATGAATATAGCCATTGCTGCTGATATGGCGTTACAGGGGTCTGTGACTATTTTTGTGTGGTGATGAAATTAGTCTAATGATGCACTCTTTTTATTTGGTGACTAAGTCTACTAAATAGTGTATTAAAACATCATGGTAATTTTGTCGCCCACAGATAAAAAATGTTTTTGTCCAGCCCTAGTTGTTGTATGACAGCACATCTGCTTTTTTAACCTATGGTTTTCTTCACAGGGAGCAGAAAGCCAAGCGAAACAGTCAGTGGGTTCCCACTCTTCCCAATAGTTCCCATCACTTAGATGCTGTGCCTTGCTCCACCACAATTAACCGCAACCGAATGGGCCGTGACAAAAAGAGGACCTTCCCCCTCTGGTGAGACTTTTTTTTTTTTTATAAATCGTTCAATCTCACGTGGAGCTGTGCATCACAGTTCATTAAGTGACACAAGTTGTGCATAAATAAATTGTTTATAATAAATATTGCAATATTCCATAAAAATAAAAAATGTCATTTTTGATTTTATGGTCACTTTTAAACAGTAATCATCATCTATTGTGCCACACTTTGTTTGTCAAAAAGGAATTGTTCAAGTTTGAATATTTAATTAAACCAATAAAACGGAATCCAGAAAATGTTTTAAATGGAAAACAGAATTTGGAGAATATAAAACAGAATCTGTGAAAAAAAATAAACAGATTTTATAAAGTCTGCTTACTCATTTATATAATTTCACTGGTTTCATTTTCTTCAGCTTTGATGATCATGACCCTGCTGTCATTCATGAGAATGCCACCCAGCCTGAGATCCTGGTGCCCATCCGACTAGACATGGAGATTGACGGGCAGAAGCTGCGTGATGCTTTCACATGGAACATGAATGGTAGACTGTCCCTTACACAGTTTCTGAGCAGCATTCATTGAATAAAAAAAATAAAAAAAAGTCACGCTTTACACAATATCCTGAACTCTCTTTTTTTTCCCCCGACACAATAGAAAAGCTAATGACTCCAGAGATGTTTGCTGAAATCCTTTGCGACGATCTGGACCTGAGCCCACTGACCTTTGTTCCAGCCATTGCCTCGGCCATCAGACAGCAGATAGAGTCCTACCCCACAGACAGCATACTGGATGAGCAGATGGACCAGAGAGTCATCATCAAGGTACATGCGTCATTCTGTCAAGTCCCCTTGCTTTCTGTAATTTCATCTTTTAATATCAGATCTCATTAAGCTGGAGCCACACTAAAAGATTTTCAAAATGTTAGCGACTACAAACGTGATGATAAGAGTTCATAAATTTAACAGTTTTGTTTCTATAGTGAGTTGAGTGTTGTTGTGTGACCACTAACAGATTCCATTCACAAACAATCCAGCATGTGAACACGAGAAATCAGTAGGGTAACCTTATTCATCCGCACAGTCATGCAGAGGCGAAGCACAACCAAAACAAAGTTTTTCTGCAAAATGCGTACAGTTTTGTTTTTTAACCGCTGGAGGGCCAAAAGTTACATTAGTGGACACATAAAAAAAAAAAAAAAAAAACTGTAAAATTGAATGAACTCCTGACCCTTCAGCAATCATTCTGATTTGTTGCTCAAGAAACATTTATTATTATTATTATCAGTGTTGGAAACGGTTTAATAACTGTTTTAGTAACCACTTAATATTTTTGATACCATTTTTTTCAGGATTCTTTGATGAATACAAAATTCAAAAGAATAGTATTTATTTGAATTAAAGTAATGAATAAAAATAATGAATCCCTAAATTGGTATGTATATAAAGTATTATTATTATTATTCGATTGCATAAAAATAGATTATGTGGTTGGTTATTGATTGCTGTTATTATTATCTCTGTAGTTAAACATTCATGTTGGGAACATATCTCTGGTGGACCAGTTTGAATGGGACATGTCTGAGAAGGAGAACTCTCCGGAGAAGTTTGCTCTGAAGCTGTGCTCTGAGTTGGGCCTGGGCGGAGAGTTTGTCACCACCATCGCATACAGCATACGTGGACAGCTCAGCTGGCATCAGAGGACCTACGCTTTCAGGTTCAGACTTGCACACAAAACCACTTCATCACAGTCCTGGCTGAGCATGAATCCTTTTAAAACTTTTTCACTGCAGTGCATAAGATAAAATGTGGTAAAAAGTGAAGTGTTAGTGTGTTATTTAAACGCCTCCAAAAACATCATCATCACAAACATCCCCATATTGTTACAGAGAATTTTATTTTAGTTTGACTGTTTAAAATCTTGCTCCATTTATATGATAAAGAGCATAGGAGAGTGTTCAGGATTTGCCAATGTGAACTTTTTCCCAAGTTGGAAAGCTTTTCAGACTGTGTCTAATGTCCTTTATTACAAAACTCAAAAGGGTCGTGTTTTTTTTATCGTTCAGCCCAGGTTTGTGAAGCTACATACCGCTCAAAAGTTTGGAAACATTAAGGTTTTTTTTAAATGTTTTTTAAAGAAATCTCTTAATTTCACCAAGGCTACATTTATTTGATCAAAAATACAGCAAAAACAGTAATACTGTGTGAAATATTGTTACTATTTAAAATGACTGTTTTCTATTTTAATATATTTTAAAATCTAATTTATTCCTGTGATGGCAAAGCTGGATTTTCAGCAGCCATTACTTGAGTCTTCAGAGTCACATGATCCCATTCAAGATCACTTCTTATCAATGTTGAAAACAGTTTTAGCTGCTTAATTTTATATATATATATACATATACATACAGTGCTGGTCAGAATTATTTGCCCCCTTGGTAAATATGATCAAAGATGGCTGTAAAAAATAAATCTGCATTGTTAATCCTTTTGATATTTTATTAAAAAAAATTGCAAAAATCTAACCTTTCATTGAAGTAAAAGAATTGAGGGGGAAATCACATTCATTTGACTACAAGTAATGTTGCACCTACATCTCTACTAACTCTCACTAGAGTGTTAGTAGAGTATTAGTAGACTGTTAGGGATAGAATAAGTTGACATGTAGTTGCAAAGTTACTTGTAGTCAGTAGATTGTCTGTTGGAGGAGCATCACAATAAAGAGTTGGCAGATATTAAGCAGTCTACTAATACTCTAATGAGAGTTAGTTGACATGTAGTTACAAAGTTACTTATAGTCAACAGGATGTTCAAAAGGGACCATCAAAATAAATTGTTACCCATCTGACTCAAAGAACAAGTTGTCTCTGAACTTTGGATTTAAGTTGCTGTTTTTTCTCTTTTTGTAGCGAGAACCCTCTCCCCACAGTGGAGATTGCCATCCGAAACACAGGTGATGCTGACCAGTGGTGTCCACTGCTGGAGACGCTGACAGATGCCGAGATGGAGAAGAAGATCAGGGACCAGGACAGAAACACAAGGTAAGAGAATGAACTGCCTTACTTAAGATACCGTTTTGCCCTATAGCAGACATGTACCGACTGCAGAGGCAAGCCATTTATCAATGACAAACTATTATCGCTCTAAGACCAATAATAATTTCAACATAGAAAGAAGAATAATGTACTTAGAATTTGGAGATTTGAGAGGTGATTGTGACCATTCCAGTACTCATATCAAACTTTTTCCTGTGTATTTCAGGCGGATGAGACGACTTGCAAACACAGCCCCAGCATGGTGAAGATAACAACCCTCTCCCACAACTATGTAAATCTGAAGAGCAAATACAATAGAGCTACAACCCAGCATTACTGAAATCAAAACAGAGGCATTCCATTGGCCAGTCCCTCCTGATCAGAGTAACTTAATGTAAAGCAACATCTGCTTCAGTCTGGCCTAGTCAAAGCCTGTGTCGTGACCTTCCCCCGTACCCAATATCTGTCTGATCAGAGACAGACGGTCTAAATGTTAAAAGTATTTTATGGTATCTTTATTTGTCTTGTTTTGTGTATAGATGCCATTTTGTAAACAATGTGCTTTTAAATAAAATTATTAAGATAAAACTTGTTTTAAATGCTTTGTTCCAAAAAGCTTGCAATTAACATGTGAGTTTCTTGTTCAAGGGCGAAATTAAATGAGTCTGTGTTGTGTGCTGAAACTAGTCACTCGAGTGCTATGGATATAAAAATAATATGAGGCACTTTTTTTTTTTTTTAAGCAGAAGCAGCAGCCAACAAACAATCAGATGGCAAATATGAAAACTTTATTCATGAGCCTTCAGACAAACAAGTGTGTTTGTATTTATATTTAAATAAAAGTCTTCTCGCACATATATCCATGGTTTTTAAGAAGCGTAATTTCTTTTTATGGAGGACAAACTCTTCCGGACAATTTCAGTTTCACCACACAAAGCCTTTTTGTATGTTGCAATGGTGCTGTGCTAACAAAGACCAAAGGCTTGAAAATGCATAGTCTGCAGTTCAATTTGGCATTTCAGAGAGTCGGCACATTTGTGAATGTGTCCACCTCCATCGCCGCTGACTGTTGTGGGAAAAGAGATATGCCACAGTATTGTACCCAGAAAATACCCTCTTGTGGCGTCCGCACTCCCTCTAAAATGATGGATTATAGTTCGGGAGATTGAATGGTTTCTCTTTAAACTCCAATGCTGCCAGCCACCACTACTTTGTAATATTCATTAAACAGAAGTTGACGAAAATACGGCAATTGTTTCAAACCATGTGGTGTGAAGTAAAACAGAAAGGCATTGTTCTTCCAGAACAAAATAACAAAGGAAAACTTGTTTTGTGATGTGCATGGCACTGAATGCAAAATTTGGATCCATTTATTTTGTACACAAAGGCACTACGATGACCAGTGTCCGTCTTTCCTGGATCCACAGTGGACCGTATGCTAAAGCATTGTCCCTTCAACAAGGAGTGTCTTCAAAATATTCTGACTTACAGAACTTGACATGCAGACATAAACTTTTTCAACTAAAACAAACAGGACTTAAAAAGCATGACAACGTTTATTGCTGTCTTAGTGGTATTGAATCCTTCAGTTTTCTTCTCATTGTGGATCCTCCTCATTTTGATCTTGGCCAGTATCTTCTACACCTTGTCCATTCCAGGATATCCCATCCTGATCTTCTGGAAGGGGGGCGTAATTCGGATCTTCTTGAGGCGCGTCAAACAAAAATCGACTGCAAAACATCACTGAATAGTTCTGATTTTGTTTGTTTCTTGTGTTAAAGCCAAACAAAATGATAAAAGAAAAAACTTCATAGTAATTTATAATCATACTCACAAAATTCCAGGAGTGGCAAGAAGCTTTCTGCCTCCTGGCTGGTTAGGAAATACATCCTCCAGGAAGTAGTAGATGTGTCCTACACCAATGCCTACACCAATACACACACACACTAAAGTTTACTATCCAAAGTTTTTGAGACCAGTCAGATTTCAGCATATATACTTTAAATTGAATTCAAATTAAATCCTGGTCTTTTGAACTTTCTATTCATCAAAGAATCCTGACAAATGTATCATGCTTTCCAAAAAAATATGAAGCAGCACAACTGTTTTTAACATTGATAATAATAATAAGAAATGTTTCTTGAGCACCAAATTAGCATATTAAAGTGATTTCTGAAGGATCATGTGACACTAAAGACTAGTAATGATGCTCAAAATTCAGCTTTGCCATCACATGAATAAATTACATTTTAAAATATTTTAAAATTGAAAACAGTTCTTTTAAATTGTTAGAACTTTTTACAATATGTCTGTTTTTGATCAAATAAATGCAACCGTGATGAGCTTCTTTTTTTTTGTGGAAGTGACAAAAAAAAATAGACCCCAAACTTTTGAACAGCAAAGTATACAATATATATACATTTATAACAACTTCTGAAATGTATATACACTTCAACTTCAGCTACAAGTATTTCAAGTGAATTTTGTTCATGCAAAATCGCATCTAAAGTCATCATGAGTATTTCAGGACAAAAGTTAACATACCCAAAAGATCAATGACAATGGAGTTGCCCAATAACAATGAGAATCCCATGAGCACCCAGGGAAGGAATGGGGCCTGGAAGTTGAGAAGGCCAAAGAAGTTCATGCGGATGTAAGGGTTCCTTCTACTCCAGACATAAACCAGCATGATAGTGAAAGCCTGTCCTAAAAAGAACAGGTTGGCAAACAGACCAAAGAGCTATAGATACCGAAGTTAAAGAAATTAGAAGGATGGAAGACTAAACTTCATTCATTACTACAATTAACTAACCTGAAAAGATTAAATGTTCCTTAAGAAAAAACTTTATATTGACATGTCTTCAACCTGTGGAAGTCTATTCTCTCCAAACAAGAAAATAATTGGTCGTATGTATGACATAAAAGTCACAATCATGAGATAAAAAGTTTAAATTCTGAGATAAAAAGTCAAATTTATGAGATAAAAATCCATGTCATGACATCAAGTGTATTTTGTATGACTATTTGTGACAATTATGAATTTAAAATAAAAGCACCATAAAACATCACAAAAGTTGTCCATACAATTCATCTACCGGTACTTATATTTCACAGAGGAAAGAAATACACTTCAATGTTTGGGGTGGGTAAGATTTCTTTTTTTTTTTTCTTTTTTTTTAAGTAATTAGTACTTTTATTCAGCAAGGACACCTTAAACTTACAGTAAAGACAATTATAACATAAGGTTTCGATTTCAAATAAATGTTATTTTTTAACTTTATATTCATCAAAGAATCCTGGAAAAAAATGTATCACGGTTTCCACCAAAAATTAGTAAGTAGCACAAAAACTTCTTTCAAAAACATTTTTTAAAAAATCTCACCAACCCCAAACTTTTGAATGGCAGTGTACTACATATACGTTTCAATTTATTCAACCAACATGATGTATGTTTTGGTGAAGAGATGCATGCTTGACTGTTCTTCATGTGATGAATGTTGAAGGATACGGTCATAAGAACACCACCGAACAGGAACATGTAGACAAAGTCTGCCGTTCGCCCACGGAAGGAGCCTTCCTCCAGCATTCGGCAGTACCGATATCTGCTCAGTCAAGGACAAAAACTCAGATGACCTACAGCTGCACAGGAGCCAAACGGCTGTTATGCAAAGCAAACACATTGTGAAACTCTGAATGTGTGTTTGTGTGCACTTCCTGAACATTTCACAGACAACCAACAGAGAGAAATATTCATATTGATCAAAGAGGATACAAAAAAATCATGTTGAACAAGAAACTGAATCCAAGAGGTCCAAAAAATAAGAAGTTTGTGATCAGTCGCCATACCTACATAAAGCAAGAAACATGAATATCAAAACAACATACTGTTGTTAAAGTTGTTGTCATGAATGCAGCAATGTTTCAATGACATTTGGGAACTAACCTGGTATTTATTTAATATCAGGTCAGGGTTAAAATAGAGTTGAAACGGTGTGATGAACTCCAGTTGCTGTAATACACAAAATAATATCAAGCAAGTGATAATAACCCAACAAACACAGAACGTTGGCACATGCGAGCACGTAGAAAGCGACGTTGCCATAGTAAAAATGCAACGTGCCACAGACGTTGCCACAACGTAAATGTATTGCTGGGAAGATCAAGTGGCCATGAAAAATGAACCTTTGGGTAGTTGACAGTATGACAAGCAATCCGTCAAAAAAAAAAAACACACACACTAATTTCTAATTATTGTAATACGTTACATTTTATGACCTCATTGTTTAGAGGTTATTTATATTATTAACACATTTAAAAATTCAAAAAGTGAATTTACAGCTGAAGTTAAATAGGCTATTTTTTCACACGGATGTTGGTTCTTTAAGCATTTACACTGACATTGAATCTTTATGTGGGGAAAATAACAATTTTGAAGACATGTTGACTTACTGTCATCATCAGCATGTGATACTATAGTTGTTCAGAAATGTAAATACACACGGGTTAGGCTATAGGCTACTTACCACAGCTGCAGTTGTCAGGACGCATGCAGTGGTATATGCTCGCGTCACGGCAGGGATCTGCATGTACTCTTGAGTGACGCTGTTAGCCATAATGTTTCTCCGGCGTATCTAAACTCTTCTGCACACTTTCACTGTGTATCCGTATAGTCAGCTATATATCTCACATCACATTTCAATACACTAACAAACAATCGATCGGCTAAGTGTGGATAGGCTATGCATCAATAGATGCATGTCCGCGTTTAGTGTTAGCGTCAACTATTTATTCTTAATGGTTCATAATGTTTGTGTTAGGATATGAGGGGCGGAGTGAGGCATCCAGGCTTCATCAGTCGCTTCAGCACCTCCACGTGTTTAAAAGCAAAATTCTCTTGTTCTTCCGTGGACCAATGAGATCGCACGGTCTCGCTGACGTGATGTAATGAATATTGGCGTAAATGTAACTGATCAAAATGTTGTTGTTTTTTTAATGTAGAATGAATAGATTATACAAATTATGTTTTGAAAAATGTATAGGCCTATATTTGTTATATATGAATAAAATGTAGGCTATTATATTAATTTTCATGACACTTTGGGCATAACTTTTTCTTGTAGCCTATTTGTTTTCGAATGAATGAATGAATGAATGAATGAATGAATACATTTGCAAATAAAATTACAAATAAAACTATAAATATAATTATGAATAAATCTACAATTATAAACGAGTGGATCACAGAAAGGTTCGGACAAATACGTGGTCTGAGAATATTTTAATTGTACCAAAATACAACACACATTTTATATAAAATTATTTACACAGTAAATATGAAAAGCAGAAGAAAATAGTGTAAAAACTAAAAAACTTGAGAAAATATAGAAGAAGAAAAATATACACAGATGATGTGGAAAAAATTCCAAGCTTGTATATTTAGAAAAAGGAGATTTAAAACATTGTCAGTGTCCTGCACTGAAGAGTGCCAGTTTGTCTGTTGGTATATTAGTCTAGCATACAGTCTCAACATCATAAACAAATGTTTATCTGTCAAGAGTTTGTGTTCTTAAAAAAACATTACAAAACATCCTTGTCTTTCCATTTTCTCTCATTTAAAAAACAACAACATTTGAATAAGAGAAACTTAATCTCTAAATAAGTGTGAGTGAGTGTGTAAGTGTGAGTGTGTGTGTTATTAATTAACACAAACTGCACAGTTTAAGATACAGTACAACTTGCAAAGAATTGTAAAAACTTAGAGATAAGAGTAACGGACATTGCAACTGGTGCAAAGATCCCTGACAAATGTTTAGCACCTTATTTAGCACCTTAACAACAGGGTATTTATGTCTTCTTACACAGTGGTTGCTTGATATACAACAAATACAGACATAGCTGCTCGTGGTTCATAAAGCTCAGATGTGCAAGATTTCCTGAGAAGAAATTAGATTAATCAGACATTTTTGAGGTGAAGGAAAGAGAAATGCCCGGGGGAACAAGAACTTAGGTTACATAGTACAGTTCGTCATCATGAAAATGTTGGGAAATTTACACTGTATGCTTCAAACCAGAGTGTGAGAACATGGTGAAAGAGACAGAAATGTTTCCTGAGGGTTTATGGCATGTTACATCCAAAGAAGTCTGCACCAATGTAGCGCGGGTAACCTTCCAAAACCTTACGCTGAACTGGGTCAAACTTCCAGTACTGTCGGCGACTGATGAAGATGGCAAAGCCTGTAGAGTATAAAACAGTTTTACACGAACTCGCAAGAAAAAGCAATAATGGGAAACGGTTTTGCATTTATAAACTAATGTATTTTATAAATTATAAATTGTAAAGTGAGTGTGCACAAGTAGTATGTCATGTAACAAAACAACTTGATTCAAAACAATTGTCACCGACTGCTGCTGCTGAAATATCGCCCTCTTCTGTCAGAGGTCTGTCACACTCACCAATTCAATTTGTCAGAGCAGTGACAAATCAAACGACTGCCTATGATGTTTCTTTCCAATTCCCTCTCCTGGATTGAAGCACCATAATTTTGAAGCAAATCAATGTGAAGCTCACCAAAATAAGAAAATGACCACAGTACAATTGTAGTATACTGAATTAAGAAGCTGAGTGCATTTATTCTGTGAACGTGACCTGTTGCATCTTTTTGAGTCACTTCGACCCACAAACATAATTTGAGTTTTATACACTAAGTCTTAGTATAATGCAGAAAATGACCCTTTCTGGGTCAAAGTGACTCAAAATCATTGAAGTAATTTCGTTCATATGTCACATACGTTCATGTGCAGCTTCGGTTACAAATAGATTTACATTCCATATGATTGTTCTGAGATTAGAGATGTCCGATACTGACAAAAAAAAACAACGTTTTGGATACTTTTGGGGGGATTTTGTTGATAATGATCCAACATCTTTTATGTTAATTCTTCCATTTAATCAATAAATTCAATCGGAATAAGACACAATCGGGCTGTTACCAATCAAATCAGTATCTACATAATCCATCTTTTAATTGCAGAGGTGGCAAAGAATCTGCGTCTGAAGTGGCATTTAGATCTATTTACACAGACTGTTTAATGCAGCTCAAAAAATCAGCATCCACCTTTTACAGTTCCTCCTGAACCAGAACAACAAGCTTATGCTGCGTTCAAGCCATGTCCAAGCCACTTACTACTCGGAGCGGTTCACGTCCTCAGACTCATATTTTTTAAAATTAATCTACAGCAGTCAGGTGGTACAAGTCAGAACTCTGTAAGATGTTTACAATCATTATTATTGTAATGTTATGTACCACCAGAGGGTGGGTATTTTATGCTTTCAAAGCTAGCTTGCTATTGTTTGCCTCTCTGAAATTGCCTACCCTGCCTTTAATTCAAAATGATTGGTTCAAAACGGCTGATTCATTCAGAGATGATGCAAGTGATTTATAAATGGGTTATTGAATCAGTCACTCGATTAATTTAAAAACGCACAAACCTTCAATAAACTTTCTTAACTTATGAGACCTGATTTCTTTCTTGTTAATATTAACATTCACTGATATGTATTAAAAAAGGCTGAGCTGGAAGTACCGTGAGCATCCTGGAAGGCAGCATCAATCTCATCAGGGACGCCCCACCAGTCCTGCTGGATGCTGCGTGGGAAGGGTGTGTCCACTCTGTTGTCTTGGGGATCCAAACGCCAGTAGGTTCCTGACTTGAAGAAGTATGTATTGAGGTCGTGGTGCTCCTTTAAGCGCAGTGCAGCCTGAATGTGCGTGACAGGGAGGCCTATAGTCTGCAGAGGGTCCGGTCCTGTTATCTTGTGCTCTGCATCAAACACCCAGTAGTTGGAACCTTACACAGGACACAAAGGAAAGAGTTTGTTATAAATATGACTGCATTAATGTATGATTTTCATTCAGTGATTTTAATTCAGTGTAAATATATACACAGGGGCAAACAAGCTTTACAAGATAACAAGTAAACAGACACACCTGGGGAAGACTAACCAACTGGAAAAACTACAAAACTACAAACATGGCCACAGGAACAGGACACAGGAATGAAAACAGAAACAAAGAGAACTAAGAAAACACTTCAACATAAAAGTCCTTCAAAACACAAGACAAAGAATTGGAATCATGACTATTACATTATGTGAAAAAAAGTTATTACATTAAAAAATCGTTATCACATTATGAGCTCAAGATTTTATTACATTTTGACTAAATTATTATATTATAAAAATATAAATACCCATCACATTATTATTTGTTATTACATTATGAGTTGCTACACTGGGTGATAAAAAAAAAATTACAACAAAATCCTGATATGTTTAGCCTTTCGAATGATCAATATTCTAAGACGGCTTAATAAATTAATAAAATATAAATTAGCATATAAATCAGAATAAAAATGTACTTTATAGCCCTCTAAAGCTTTAAAAGTACAGAATCTCAATAGTATGCAGACCACAATATGGCATGTTTAGACTTTTTATGCCGTTAATTATGAAAAAGTGAATTTAAGACATTGTATCTATAAAATTGTCAAAGTCAGTCACGGGTGCTCCCTCTAATGGTGAAAAAATGAAGTACATTTACAGCATTATAATGTACCCCATGTTTGACTGACTGAACCTATGCTAGTCTAAATGCACTGAATTTCAACCAAATTCTCAGTATTGTAAAGCTCAGTGAAATTCATTCAGAGAAAGTACCATCTAAGCTACAGTAACAACCTACAGTGTATAATTCTGTTTAGATACTGCAGCACTGCACAACACAAGTGCATTTATCTGTTGTAAGTAGCATTTGTTCTACATGGTCATATTTTATCATGCCCTGCATTAGAGGCAAAATTCAGGATGCTTCATATATGGGTCAAGGGGAAGTACCGCACCACCAGTCACCATAGATATGTATATAACCAGGCCTGTCTGATCCTGTCCTCCAACCACAAATCACCACAGTCAGCCACCGGTGTTGCACTCACCCACCTTCAAAGAACCAGATATTGCCCTTTTTGTCTTCATAGGCGGCGCCTATTTTCTCTGGAATGCCCCTCCAGTGTCGGGAGGCCAAGGCAGGGTATCCCGCCTGCAGACGGCCCTCCCTGATGCGCCAGGCATAGCTGGCCTTGAAGAAGAACAATTCCCCACGGATTATAGACACAGCATCGAAATCTGTGTGACAAGCGTCAGGCTACAGACAATGACAGCGGGAGAAGAGGAGATGAAATAACGGGAGTGAGAATAAAGGGAGCATATAGATAAACTAATTTAAAATACTTCATATTTTAGGAATATTCGTGGTATAATCCAATAACAAACTTGTAATACAATAATAATAATAATAACATTTATTACCACAAAGAAATTATAATTATGAACTGTCCCTGGAAAAGGAAACGGAAAAATTGAGGTTAAAGTGAAGCACTTACAATGGAGATTAATTATTAATCACATTAATTCAGTTAAAATTGGCTTAAATCATCATTTTAGGGTTTAAGTTGTAAAATTGGATATAACTTCACACAGAAAAGGTTAGTAAATGTTTTTTTCACACTAAAATGTGATATGTTAACACACAAATTGTTTATGTCTTATGTCTTATGTCAAATCTTATGTCTATACTAATGAAATAATGAGTATTTTTAACATTAACCGATAAGGTTAACCTAAAGATTATAGTAATAAAGATTATGCTGTTGATGTTGCTGCTGACATTCATTTAATTCTTTTCAATGTTAATGATAATTTCTCAAGTGTAATTGACCGCAGATAAACTGTGAAGCGGGATGATGCGTTCAGTGACTCACTGCACTGGTGATAATCTCATTGGTTTCCATAGGGACTTGGGGCGGGGCTTGCGGTCGGGGGCCGTAGAGGTATTGGATCCCTTTCTTGTCATCCTCACTGAGCTGGAGAGGATAGGAGAAGCTGTAAAATGGGGACATGATGGCCCCAGGCTCCATAGAATGCTGTAGACCCAGGACATGGCCAAACTCATGTGCTGCCACCTGAAGAAGGTCTGTTCCTGTAGGATGACAAAATAAATTATGCTTTTTTTCACACAAATCTGATTTGGCTTTCAAATGTGATCTTAAGGAATGATTGTCATTTTGTTTTTCTAATCCCTTCTGATCCGTCAATATCCGGTGCTTCTACATCAGTTTCTGAAGTAATTATGTAAACGTTAGCAGGATGCCGAGAGGCTTTCTTATCCAACAGCTGAGTGTTGCTCTCAGTGTGGAATGAGAGACATAAAACTAGAAATTTTGCCCCTGCTTATGTCTGTCATGACATCTCACTGAGGTGCTGAACTCAAAATGTATTTTAAGCAACATTACACATTAAAACAAAACTTGACGTCACACACGTCACACCTCAAATTATTAAAATAAATCTTTTTTTAATCGGACTGATCGGTTTGAAATGTGGATCATGTTTGAGATTTGTGTCAGATATGCAAAAAAATCGAAAACAATTTTTTCTGCTTGTCTACACAAAGTCTTAAAGCGAATCAGAGATGAATCAGAACTTTACAGGTAGTTTGTATAGGTGTGTTGAAAGCATAATCTATGATACATTGACTGATTTACTGCTCCCAAGAATGTGTGTTATCTGTTTTAGGGATTTACAGTTTTCCAAGAAAGTGGCAGGCAGTGAAGCGGTAAGATGAGGATTTTATCTTTACCACTTACCAAGTTCATTGCCCACCGTCCAGGACTCATCATAGTCAAAATGAATGTCTCCCTCCCGGTGCGTCCTTGGGAAAAAAGCATGAGCCAGGATCCCACCAGGGCCATCAAATGGCAAATTATCACCATGCCAGTACCTAATATAGGATATAATATAGTAATAATGTAAAGTTTCTCCATATATTCATTTCTTCAGTTTTATACCTAAAGACATACATATGAAAACATGAAATTAAAATGAATATCAGGGGTCAAGAAAAAGCTATTATTCTGCTATCTTGAGATTGCATGTCCAGCAGAATGCTACTGTACTATAGTATATTGTACTTTACTACACCACTCTACCAGTTGGGTCAGTGAGATTGTTTTTTAACCAATACTTTTATTCAGCAAGGATACATTGATCAGAAGTGACAATAGAGACATTTATAAGTTTACTAAAGTTTTCTATTTCGAATATACGCGGTCCTTTCCACAAAAATATGACGCAACTGTCTGCAACATTCATAATAATAAGAAATGTTTCTTGAGCAGCAGATCAGCATTATAGAATGATTTCTGATCATGTGACACTGAAGACTGGAGTAATGATGCAGAAAATTCAGCTTTGCCGTGACAGGAATAAATTACGTTTTAACATATATTCAGTTAGAAAACAGATAAAGAATAGAAAACAATTGTCAAAATAATACAATTTTTACGGTATTTTTGATCAAATAAATGCACCCTTGTTGAGCATAATAGACGTCTTTCAAAAATATGAAAAATTCTTACAGATCCCAAACTTTTGAACAGTAGTGTATGTTATACTGTACTGTATATACCATATTATACTGCACTGTACTGTACTATACTTTATCATCTATACATTACTTGTTTTTTTCTTTATTATAATGTGCTGTTCTATACTATCATTCTATATTATAGTTATACCGTATACTATACTAATACTTTATCTTGTAACGCTTGTATTATTGGACACTTTGTTTGCAGGATAAAGTAATCAAGGATGACAAATACATCTATGGAGAGGGTATTTCAGAAATAACTGTAAAAGAGAACATGATTTTGCATGGTACTGCATTTATGCCAGAAGAGACCTAAAGCAAAAATTACAAAATTCCCAATCCTTCACTTTGTTACTTTGTTGCATAGTGAAAGGTGTTTTTATTTATTTATTATTTTTTACCTTGTGAAGTCAATGACTATGTCGGCCTCTTGGTTGATAACCTCAGTAAAGGTAAGAGGTGTGACATCACTCCAGACCTTGAGAGCTTCCAGTAAAACTCGCCTCACTTTATCCTCGCTCATCTGCCACGGGAAGCGCTGGATTCTAAACACAGAATTTGATAAATGCTCAAAGTTTATCAACAAAAAACATGTGATCACATTTTCTCCTGCATAAACACACTGTGTTTCATTCCACCAGTCTTTCACTGCTGGACCACCAACCGACACAAACCCACATCAGAGACCACCAGTGAGTCGTCTTTATTATTCATCACCATAGGCATCTGTCTGGTTAACATGTCACATGACCTCATAATGTGCTCTGATTGGTTATTTTATGAGCATAATTAAACTGCGGTTGTAGTGGTATTATGTGTGCAGCTTTATGACCCAGTTCTCTGACAGAAGCAGAACTCACCAGGAGTAACTTCAGACACCGTATCATATCAGACTGTTCTCAATCTTCACTTACAATTTGGGCATGATTAACTTTTTATTATAGTCATGACTCATGCACACAAGTGTGAGCACTTAATTGAGCATTCTTCAAATGTTTGCGTTGAACAGCAGTAATAATTTGTGTAGCTCAAGTTAACAGGAACTTATAAAAGCTGTTTCTACTTGTATCAGAGATTATTTAGAAATGCGCATTTTAATAAAGGAAGCCAAGCTTTATCAGAGGGCCCACACACCTGTCTGTGTCATGGAATGTGTCTTGATTCATTCAGCCCCTCCGGCTTAGAATTTATGATACCATTTTTTATGCTTGTGTTCTTGTGTTTATGCTTTTCACGTGTCTGGGGTTCTCAGAAGCGCAAGTCGTCATAGGTGGGTAAACTTCTATAGCAGTGAATGGAAACTACAACAAATATATTTTTGTGGTCTTATATCCTCCAATAGCAACAGAAAAAATTCACAATAGCATGACTTATGTTCAGTTTGAGTCTTGTTTTCTTTGTTTCTGTGTCCTGCCTGCCTGAGTTCTCATTAGTCTCCTTGATTAGTCATTCTGTTCAGCTGTTTCCTAATTAGATCCCTTTGTTCCATGTATTTAAGCCCTGTGTTCTCCTTAGTTCTTGGTCCGTTCTCGTTTGTGTAAGATGTGTTGTATTTCTCCACATTCTCCTGAGTGTGAGTTTATTTTGATTCTCCTTCGTTGTGCGAATTATATTCACAACCATTATGTATATATATATATATATTATATTTCAATGTAAACATCTAGTTTATCTTATACTGTCCCATTCTAATCCACATTGTACACACCCTTGTACTATTCAGCCATAAAACTGTTACACAAAGAACAATCCAGAGCGAAACGACCATAGAAAGAAAACAGTGACATTCTACATCTTCCACCGGATGCATCCACACTGTGCTGCCTGTGAATAGATTCTTGTACAAATGTGGCTGATTACTTTCTTTTTCAAAGAAGGACCTTTTCTCCCTTACAGGTCTGACTATAATGCCCCTGCATTCCTCCACATAAACTGCTTGCTTAGGTATGATCAGAACAGAGATAGAAAGTGCTATCAGCGCACAAACATTACTATTAATTCAGATATTGAAAAAATTGGGGAAATGACTTCTTTGTTGAAAACAAAAAGGCTCTGAGACACTCCCTGCATCAAAATGTCCATACTATCCATCCTAAATAGTATGTGAGAATAAGTGTGTCCCAAAGCATAGTATGTTGAAAAGAGTATGTCAAAAATCCCCGGATGGTCTACTATTTCCGGTAGATTTTCAAAGTGTGGATCCGTGCTCACTCTAAAGGCTAATATTGCCCACAACCCATTGCGCTCTGGAGGAGGAACTACAAACACAACAAGTAAAAAGTGTTAAAAAACTACAAAGAAGGTTGGATATGCGTGGCCGACGGTGAGAGGTTTAGATAAAGGATTGAGTGAGTTTAACCTGATAAAAATAATAATAATTATGTTATCCGTGTTATATTTCATCTGCAATAACAATGTGAACTTTTATCAAGATTCGTTTTGCCATTAACTTTTAAATGCATCATTATGCATTAATATGAGAAGAGTTCTCTGCATGAAAGACCCGTGACTGCAGATCAACGTGCAACTGCATTTCTCTCCGATACGATAAGAAATAATAATGAAATGAAATGTGGAGGATTTTAACTGTGACTAGATGATTGACAGACCAGTTTACTGTGACAGGGTGCGACAGAGAGCAACTGTAAAAGACGCAATTGTATGACGTGATAGTATGTCCCAAGATTGTGCACTCTTTTGCTACACACTCAAAAGTATCTACTTTATCTACTCTTCACAAGGTTTAAACAAGGTCCAGATCTTTTCAGTTGCTGCGTCTCTCAATTTGCCTACTTATACTACGCCCTAAAAGTATGTAGTATAAGTATGAGAATTGAGATGCAGCAACTGAAAAGATCTGGACCTTGTTATTCTTCACACACACACACACACACACACACACACACACACACACACACACACACACACACACACACACACACACACAAAAAAGAAGTTCAGTGTTGTTAAAGAAAGTAAATGTGTTGGACAACAATCATCAAAACAATAAAAAAGACCCTGGTATAAAATGTGTGATTATAATAATAATAATTAAATATTTTAATATTAATAATAACAATAATAATTGTGTGTTTTATTTAATAATAAGTATTATTACTATTATTTTATATTTGGCAAACGCTTTTATCCAAAGCGACAGGAACAAAACCAATTTCTCATAGAGCCAACAATATTCATTGTATACAATTCTAGAAAGCTATCAGGATTATTATTATTATAATTATTATGATGATGATTATTGTTTTTGCTAAATAATAAATTATAAAACATGTAATAAATAAATAATTTTAGGGGATTTCAACCAATATGGGATCACTGTTATTTTAGTATCACTGACTGAGATACTTATATAGTTTTTATTTCATTTTCATTTTAGTTAAAGTTTTAGTAATTTTGTTGTGTTGTCATTTTTTGAAGGTTTTTTTGGTTTTGTTTTCAAAAAATATGTCAATATAGTTTAATTTCAGTAAAACTTTTATTTTTGTATCAAGCTGAACTAAATTAAAGGAAGAAATGTTGCCATTAAAGTTGTATATATTTTATTTCCGTTAACATGTATTTTAGTTAACTATAATAAAACTATAATAATCCTGGATGCAACATGCCCCCACACACTTTTAATCACTTGTTATTATTTAGCTATTATTGATATTATTATGGAGTGAATGGAATAACAGGTAGGTCTTAAGCACCTACTGAATATTAATGAAATCATACAATTAATATCCATGATGTTATATATAATACATGTAGTTTTCTTGTACACCTTACTTGTAAGTGAGGCCAGTTTTTGGCCAGCGTCCTCCAAAAATCACAAAGCGTTTCTGCCGGGGGTGCCTGCTGAGATGCACCTCTCTCTGGTCGGGGTAGTCTGGGACGCCACAGCGCAGTGGACCTACACCCCCGGAGCTGTTCCTGAGCGGCTCACCCTTTGCCTGAGGTTTAATGGTGTCCTGAGGGTGGTGAAGGTGGACCCTGTCTCTCCTCTTCTCAGAGAGCAAATGAGGAATCTGTGGCAAACTCTGTTATGGAAAGATGGAAGACCTGCATGAACTTATTGGTAATGGACAACAATGGACAGTATGTTGTAATGCTCTTGTGAGTGTAAGTGAAGTTTAACGCAAGCTCAATGAATTGAATAAAGTTGACCCTACTGTTAACAAATTTGGGGTTTAAAGAAATGAAAACTTTCATTCAGCAAGGATGCATTAAATTGATCAAAAGTGACAGTAAAAACATTATAATGTTACAAAAGATTTCTATTTCAAATAAATCCTTTCGAATAAATGAAAGAATCCTTTTGTTTCCACAAAAGCAGCACATTTTTTTAACATTGATAATAATAATGTTTCTTGAGCACCAAATCAGCAAGGATCATGTGACAAAAATTCACAGGAATAAATTACATCATTTAAAATAGAAAAAAGTTATTTTAAATTACTCATAACATGAGTATTACTGTTTTTACTGTATTTGTGATCAAATAAATGCAGCATTAGTAAGATTTTTTTCAAACAACATTTAAAAATCTTACCGACCCCAAACTATTGAACGGTAGTGTACTACCTGTTTTTTTTTTTTTTACATACTGACCCCTTTGGCAAGGACATTCAACAGTTCATGATAATGAACATAAAGTATGTTAAGGAACATTAAATAAAAACAAACAAGCCAGGCCGACCTAATCTGATACAAAATGAAAAATCGTGTTTTTCCCATGGTTGATGCTGTTTACTAACTGTAAGATATGATTGCGGATGGACTGCTTAGTGTCCCTAAACATACTTTGGAGGAAATGGCTGTTCATTAACATGGGCGTTAAAGACAGAGAAGAATGCCTTGGGCAGCACTTTGGTGCTTTTAGCCAGAATTTTTGAGGCATTTATAGAGGTTTTAAACTTCAGGATGTTTCAGCTTTCATTTACAGTCTTGCCTTTTACCCACTTTTACCAACCCCAGATGTCTAAATAAATACTTACATAATATCATAAGAACCAAAATGTATTTCAAAAAGTGAAAAATGTTACAATTTGAAGATTTTAAGTTTTTACAATGTGACTTTTATGTTATCTTTATGTCTTCCTTTGGACTAGAAGAAAAAAGCACAGTCCTGACAAGATTGTTGGCGCCCTTGTTTTTTTCCCTCGACTGGTTTACAACATATTATAAAATGTTTAGGACTTTTGCAAAGAAACGGCAAACAGGCTAGACGTTTTCCCCTCTGTGACCCTGTGTCTCTCTCCCAGGGACGGAGGCTCAGCGGTGACTCCTCATGCGTGAGGCAGAGCTGCTATATTGGAGACAATGCCCAGCAGGAACTATGGAATGTGCCCTGGTCTCTGAGCGAGACTTTCTACCAGCACACTGATTTCAAGCATGTGCACAGACAGTTCAGGTTCATTCTGCTCTTTGTGTTTTGGATTAAGTTGCAGGTATTGCTTACTGTATACTTAATACACTTATGGGTCAATGACAAATAAGGGTGTCCACAATAAAGAAAAGAAACATTCTAGTTTAAAATGCATATGTCAAGTTCTTAGAAATGTATGTATATCATTTTTTTCAGCATGTTGCTTTCACAAAATGCACCTACAAGTCATGAAACATCTATATTCACAGAAATATTCTTCTATCAGAATATTCTTCTTCTAATAATATTCTAAAAGTGTATGGCATCATCTTTTTTCATTTCAAATATTTACGCTAAGCACTTACCCTCAATCAAATGTCATGGACCAAACTGGCTACAAAGTGAAATTCAAAGCAGATGCTTGATTAAATGTATTATTTTCTCAGTTGTTTATCTCATCATAACATCTGACAGCATCATGACTCCTGACCTATCAGTGGGAGAGATCGGCCATTACCCTGGAATAATACACACATTCCACATCTGGCCCACACAAAGATGAGGTGCTTTCTGCATTGTTCATTTACAATGCATGTTTTTAGAACTCCAGTTCAAAGTTTATGTGTGTATGACCCACTTCTCAAAAATGGAGGGCAAGTTTGGACACATTTGACTATACTATGCAGGGGGGAATGAAGTCAACACAATAGGTCGCTTTTTCATGTGTGTAAGTGTGTGTGTAATCTAAAGAGAAAGCATTGCCCAAGGTGCCTTGATGTTCTGCCAAAACACAATCCCCAATGTTTAAGCAGTTTATTTCATTAAATGTCTGCTGAGATTAAAGCAACAAATTTGCACTTTATATACACAAAATGGAAACCAAGCGGCCATAGAAAGGAATGCTATGGTTTACTGAAGTTAATGGAAGTAAGATCAGAGTGAATTTTGAAATATGTGTGAGAATGTAGCTGTCCACTTTTATCAACCCTGTTTAAATGAACCGTCTGACCCTAGAGCTACTGAAAATACCTTTTAGAGTGGGATCAAAATTCTGGGTCAGTGGTTAATGGGTTCACAGACATCAGACAGGGAGAGAAAAACTTGTCTCAGAGAGTTTGAAAGCTAGCCAACAATGCTTTCTGATTCATTTTTTAATGCTGGAAATATTTAGAGTCAGCGTTTTGCCTGTATAGTTCGACTTAATTCATGTTTCAGATACGCCCCCCAGACAAAGCCAAGTTATAAATGGTGCTGTCTCCTTTCATGTGTGGTTAGATTTGCCAGTGGAGGTCTATGCTTGAGCCTCACTCGGTCACTCCCATAGGTACACAGCCTGTCTCTGCCTAGAGCTCCCACGTCCCCCCGCCTCTCTCCTGTGTTCACACATGCTTTTAGCACAGGGGAAATATTGATAAGAGGACCTGACATGGTGCATCTGAGTGCATCTTGTTTGCCCCTATGTGCTGTTTTCCAGAACTATGCCCCAGGCCTAGATTACTGCAAAACACCAGCAGAGATCCCCAATCCCCAAATTCAGGTTAATGATATCTGACCTGTTCAGAAACCTTTGTTGAGGAAGATTGATAAGAAAGAGTGATATTGTGTGAATATGGGACCATTATGTTGCAAAAAAATGTCAGGTTCTTGTGTTGCATAATGGATGAATTGTTAGGATTTTTCTCATTGCTTTCAACTAACTGAGAGTACAAGCCACTTTCAGTGGCAAAACGGTGATTTAAAGCTAATACTTTAAAGTGATTTAATCCTTTCACCTCTTCCAAACAGAGTCGACTGTAAGTAAACCAATTTGCAGGTTGATATTTCAGAAAAGTGTAAACGGTAGTTCTGTGGTGCTATTAAAGCATTTACTGTTTGCTCCAAGGAATATTCAGGGTTCAATGTCATGCTCAATTGGCAGCAATTGCTGCATGATGTTGAAAACCACAAAAACTAATTTCTACATTTCCGTCCTTTTCTTTAAGACAGAAGCAAAAATATGGGTTACAGTTAGTCACTTACAATGGAAGTGATTGAGGCCAATACGTAAACATTAAAATATTCACTCACTGCCTGCGTCCGAAATCGGATACTCTCTGTGAATAAGTTATTACTTTGCGACGGTTAAATAAATATGCTCTAGTATGAATATGTGTAGTATGAATGTAATTTTGTCATTGTAATGTGACCAACCAGTGTCAGTTGCATCTCTTCTCTGTCATTTAAATCTTCTCTTCCGTGGCCTCATGGGACAGGAAAGTGTCCATGGATGTGCACTTCAGAATCTCACCAACAGTTGTAAGTCACCCGGATACTTTTTGCATATTGTTTTATGAATAATGTGAGTTTGGATGTGCAACTCTTTTCACTAAATGTTTTTCGCCTACTAAAGTAAGGAAGTATGCATATTCGTATGCAGCCAGTTTCAATAGTATAGCCACAAGACATAAACTATATGTGTGTTTTAGTGCAAAAAAAATCGCTGACTAACCTTTACTGTGTACATTTATGACTAATTAAAAAAAAAAAAAATCATGGCAAACATAATGGTGTAAACCCTGAAATGACCAAAAAATGTACAATAACTTTACAGTTCAAACTGGTTTTAAGAGAATTAACCTTGATTTATGATTTTTATAAAGAAAACAAGGAACGAGTGTGGTGGTCACCATTATGTCACAAATGCAGTTAATTGAGTTTAACTTGAACTGAATCCATAAGCATCCGATCTAGCCCAACACAGCAATACTGACTCAACTAATGGTGTGAGTTTTGGAGTGGGGCTATCTGTTTATGCAACCACTGGAAGACGTAGGACTGTTTGGGAAAGATGTTTGGAAACAATTATTATTTTTCTCAGTTTGATGACTAGTAATGCAAAAATCCCACACTTCAGATTTAACTCATAAAGCAAGATTATTTCAGGAACAACTGAGTCGGCCTCCTTAAAAGATTACTACTTTAAGTAAAAATTAAGGTAAAAGGATCATGGTGTATGTTGGAATATGTATGATTTAGTATATTTACACATTTATCAAAAGTACTTAAATGAGCCTTTTGACCCTATAAATACTTTTTGGATGGTTAGAGTGCAGGATCAAAGATCTGGGTTACTGTCCAATCTGGTTTACAGACATCAGACAGGGAGAGAAAAAGAAAAGCTAATCCTTACACCAACATATCACAACTCTTCATGGCAAGATAAATGAAGCTTTAAAGGATTACCATTTGAACAAATATTCACAGGTAAATCCCCTAGAAGCTGCAGCTGACTTTGGGAGTGATGAGCGGTCCAGTGCAGGACTAAAGGATACTTTCAAGTAGCTTTCGGTGATAAGCTCCCAGATACTGTTTATGCACCAGTGCTCATGTTAAACTTTATCCCCAGCAGCTCAGTCCTCTACCAGCTGTAGTAAATGTTTCAAAGTTTGGATCAGTGCTTGAAGGATTTTGGCACCTGGTTTATTCACATAAACCTATTTTCTCCCTCACCCACACACACATATTCCTGCTCTGGCACATTCAGGAAATCATTATCATGCTTTCCTTGAATGACCCCGACAAAATCACAGCAGGGGCATTTTCCCAATAAGTTAAGGGTGAGTGAGCCTTATAATCTTGACTAATATACGTAAACCACAATGTTCCTTTGTGTTGTGATGGAAATGCTGTTTGGATTGCAGGTGATTTCACTTACACTTCAGAGGCTATGTAACTTTTGGCCCTCTAGTGGTTTGTTTTTGTAATTTTGTGAGTTTGGCTTCGTCTCTGCTATTCTAAGCGGATGATGGTTTGCGGTGTACCCTTGGTTGCTGGTGATTTTTTGAGAGCGAATGTCATTACATTACATTACGTTGTGACATCAAAACTCCTTTCTTCACAAAAAAAAAAACATCCAAAAAAATAAGTATTTAAGGCACTACCACAAGTCTACTGCACAATACACGCACTATAGGAGCCGGACCGGACAAACCTTTTCTTAATTTACGGACATGACGTAAACACTCACTGACAAATTGCACAAGTATACAATTTCCCATATAGTCTTAAGTTAAGAATGATCTAAAAGAGATCATTTCAAGATGACCAAACAGATAAGGTTCTGAGTTACATTTCTGTTATACACAGTATATAATTTCATCATACATAAAACTTTATTAAAACTTAATAATATAAACCTTATTGAGGCTTTATTTTTCCCAAAAAAAATTAATGAACACAATATATTACATAAGCACCTACAGACCCAATAAAACTGCTCTTAAATAGCACAGTCCCAGTACAGGGGTGTACTAGGACTGTGCTCCCCCCCCCTTTTAATATTTTATATCAGGGCCAGTGGCTTGTTGTGGGTCCACTTGAACTAAAAATGTGAAAATAATTCTTAACCAGAATGATACATGACAACTTTTATGTTTCCCCATGTTCAGGCATTTAAACTTAACTAACATTAAACTAAATTGTAAATTACATGACTCCTTTTAAATGGTGAAAATATTAAACTGCATATATTAACCTCAAATAAACTGTATAAATGAACTGTGTACTAGAGTCTCCTCCTTTGCCAATGTTTTCCGCTCCCTGTGGGTCAGACATTAATGTGAATGGGACTGGGATGTGAAAATAATAATAATAAACAAAGCATTTTGAATGCCATGGCTGACAAACTACACAATCTATTCTCTCTCAGCAAGGGAAGTGCATGGAAACATGGGGCCAAAATAATCGTAACAGGAACAAGGACAGTGCGGTTTCTCTGAGCAGGCTATCACATTCCCTAAATTCTCTCTACAGTAGGCTATGCATCAGTGTGTGTGTGAGAGAGGGAGTGTGTGTCCCTCCAGATGGCACAGAAACACAAACTTGCCCATGCCTGCACAATCCCTCGCTCTTTTGTCATCGCCGAGGGAACAAACTGACAGCATATATAAATTTTACACCTGAGTCATCATAAACACAACACTAAAAAGCCATTCTTCAGTACTCAGAATATGTTCACAGGTTGATTAGGTCATTTTAATAAGCAAACAAACACTTCTAATGTGTGGCACAGTAAGGTTGTTAGTACATTTATGGAAAATACAGCATTTAATGGCAGTTAAACAGTTAAAAGAGATAAACTTGCACTCATTCTTTACTAATCCTGAATCAAAAAAACGTTAACAATCCCAGATGAAAATGACAGGTTCTGGCTCGTAATTGTAGAGGCTTCAGACGACGTTTTACAATTTATGGTTTATGATGATATGTAGCCTATAACCCATATAGTCTGGTAACAAGCCAAAGCTCAACAAATTTTGCTTTGTTGTTTCCCTATTTGTCATGTTGCATGAAAGTAAAATAAAAAGCATTTTGTTAGACTTTATCAAGTAAAACTCAAACTTTAAAACTTTGTGGCAAGTTATAACGGTAAAACGTAAAATAAACAGCAGGCTACCGATTTTCAAGAGCTGGAACGAAACAATAGGCTACATCAAATGTATGAAATAAGAGTACTGGCATTAATAAACTCACCGGGGGCTCTTTGTGCTTCATCAGTCCTCGCCCCCCATGCAAAGGCATGCATCTCACGGTCAGGAGCACATGCAGAGCGAAAGCGCCTGACAGAAGCCCGGAGACCCGCATCCTCCTCCTGTATCCTCGAGCTCCACTACTGGAAGTGGAAATGCGATGGAAGGTAGCGGTGCAAACGACTCGCGCAATGCCTGTGCGACTGCTGCTGCGGAGACTGCAGTCATGTATATGCAATGATTTCTTTGTTCTCTTTCCCCAAATACACCGACTTTTTTTCTGGGCCGGAGTGACAATATTGCCCTGTCTCACCACGTGACTTTTAACTCTTGCCTCTGAAGAGAGCTGATCAATAGCCTGTAGCCTAATCTAGTGCATACAAAAACTCCCTAATTTGGTCAGATTTGGATAAATACCAAATGTAATTTCCACTAGATCTGCGTGTTCTCTAAATGTTTAACATTTTAGGGAAAGACTAATATTTTTGATGTAGCCTATCTAAGATTTACAGGGGAACTGTAGAATAATCTATTTGGTTAGCGCTATATTGTAAAAAAAAACATTTGTACAAATACATAAAAAGGCACATTTGATTTGATTCTCCTCTTAGCCACTAGATGGCACAAAAACTTGCTGCAGCACTTTCCTAAACATCCGCGTTTTTACGATGCACATGGAAATGTGGCTGATCCTTGACACAATCGCGGGCAGCGATGCAAATTGATTCTATGCTAAATTTATCGAATTTTTATTGTTTAACAAAAATTATATAGATTCAAGTAGCAAATGAGAATTGCCAAAATTATTGAATAGGCAATGTAAAGTAGACTAACTATTTTCTATGTTGCGCTTGTAATCATTCTCAGCTCTACAGAGTCCTGGCTGTTATTTCATAATTGCAAGCAGTTATGCAGAATAAAATGATGACAAGGGAATTAAACTGTGGAAGGGCGATTCAGCATGTGGCATCCTTTACATCAACACACAAACCAATGATGGTCACACACTCCATTCCAACCACATAGGTTAAGTATGACACATAACGAATGACACACTCCCAGCTATAACAGGGCGAGGGGCTGACCCAACGGTAACACTCTCATAAAGAGAAAACACAAATGAAGTAGTAAAGCATATTATAACAGTATACACACACTTGTAAGCGTTTAACGCATGCAAGCACCGAACTGATGAATAAACAAGTGACATCTGTCACTAATGTAAAGCGACAAAACAAGCGCACAAACAGCTCAAGCGTTTTTGCTAAGGCTGGAAATAAATGCTCCAATCAAAGCAGCCGAGCCAGTGCATCAGAACAGAGTACCCAACCTATTTTAGGTCTAGAGTAGGTCGGGTCTACTCTAGGTAGGCCTACCTAGTCTATACCGGACAGAGTTGAAACCACACAGCTCACAGAGAAGGGTGTGGCCAGTCGTTGCAAACAGCCATAAACAGATCAGCTTACATATCCTGCACAAACAAAACATGTGGTGCAAAAGAGGGAATCTCACGGTTGTAAAATCTAGCAAAGTTGTTCTAAGAAGACCAACGGGCCACCGAACAAATGTCCTGAATCGACATCCCTTTATTCCAAGCCCATGAAGAGGTAAGTCTCATTTTTAGAAGCATATGCCAACGCTATAGCTTCCACAATCCAGTGAGACAAGCGCTCTTTCGAAAGCGGCAGACCTTTACAGCAACCTCTGAAACAGACAAACAGCTGCTTTGACAGTCTAAAATTACTAGACCTGTCCACATGCGCAAACAGGGCATAAAGGATGTGGGACAGACATGGTCTCCTGAGGAGCAAACGCTTGAGCTTTATAACCTGTGCTCTAAACGGCGTAGACAGCACTTTGGGCACATATCCACGTCTGGGTGTAAGTCCATACAAGCCGTGTCAGTAGACAGAGCATGGAAATCACCCACTCTCTTCCCACACACAGCAAGTAAAAGTGCCGTCTTGAATGAGAGCACTGTCAGCTCCATAGCATGCAGCGGTTCAAAAGGTGGCTTGGAAAGTGCGCTAGCACCAAAGACAAATCCAGGCAGGTACCAGGTTAGGTAACAGCCGCCTCGCTCCTCTCAGAAACCCTGCCACCAAACTGTGATTACCTACTACGCAACAATCAATAGGCGAGTGAAAAACTGAAATGGCAGCCACATACACCCTTTAGAGTGGATGGTGCGCCACCGTTATCCTGTAGAACAGTCCTGTAGAAACAACATAATAACAGACATAGCTGGTCGATGGGCCCTCATTTTTCACCTTACACCAGGATACGAAGACTTTCCATTTTAAAGCATAAAGGTGTCTGGTCGATGGGGCTCTTGACCCTTTGTGGCACATTCAATGCCTACTCCTTGCACTGACTTGCCAGACATGCAGGTCCTATAGCTCTGGTCTGGGGTGCTATATAGTGCCCATCGCTTAAGACACCAGGTGCCTCCATAACAGTATCAGCCATGGGGGAGCCACCAGAAGTTCCCCTAGTTCTGGAAACCATGGCTGGTTTGGCCAGTTCGGCACAACCAGCAGCACAGTCTCCTTTTCCTCCCTGATCTTTTGCAGCACCAGTGGCATGATCTTGACTGGGGCAAAGGCATATTTGCCTTTCTGCCTTGGCTGGAGGAACGTTTCCTTTTGTGGGTGGTCAGGAACCTCCTATTGATACGGGCAGTCCATGTTCCTGGCCGTCAGAATTGTGGCGTGGAAATGCTGTCAGGGAGTGGCTACATCCTCAAACAGTCTAGATGATTTGGAGCCTGTTTGGAGTAGCAGAGGTCGAATTGTTCACCTCGGTAAGGAACACGATTTGCTCGCTGTTCTTTTCACTGGTGAGAAAAAGGGATCCTTTATCAACTGGCAAGGGAACAGGTGGGTGCAACACAGCAAGGTGAACTCTTTTGCTCGCCGGCTCGCTGTCTACGTCGTAAGATGGTCTCCTCCTCTGACCACTCCCATCAAGAACACGGCTGAAGCTCAGGCACTGGCCTTACTTGGGTGGAGCCCCTGTCTCTTATGGCACTTTTCCACTGGGTGTTACGACTCGGTTTGGCACGGCATGACACGACTCGGCTCGCTTTACTTTGGCTCGGTTTTCTTTTCCACTGGCTGGACCCATGGCTGGTTCCGGGTCCTTCCTCGAGCCCAATGAAACTGTAGTGGGTGATCTGTCCTGGCGCTTAGATGAACACTGCGCAGAGGAGGATCTCAAAGGCACTGGAGGAGCTGCAGCCCTTTTAGGCAGGAAATGACTCAGTGCCTTGGACTACTTTTGGGCTTCGAGGAACTTCTCCGAAAAAGAACCCACAGCGTTACCAAAGAGGCCATGGGGGCTTATGAGCGTGTCCAGTAACTGAACCTTCTCCGAGTTCCTCATCTCCATCAGTGTCAGTGCTTAATCGTGCTCAGCACAGTGCTCAGCGATGAAGATGACTTTTACCCACAAGCGGTTGGGCCCAGGTGAGCTGGCTCCTTGACGGGTGGCGGTGTGGTGTATCCCAAGCGGTCAGCTCCGTTTAAAGAAGAGAGGAGATGCAATCCCGCTGTCTGGGCTCGAGCCGAGTAGGGGAAGTGCCAGGACCGTGAGATCTCATCCTGGACTTCTGGTTGAAGCATATCCATCCTGCTCTTTGCTGGCTGCTCCAGAGGTGACCAGTTGAAGCCCAGGTCCTTAACGGCCTCTGTGAGAATTTTCAACTGTTCCTCATCGATAGCCGATGGAGGCTTTTCAGTCACCTCACTACAAGGAGGCCTACTGCACGTGGCTGCCTCGGCCTTTCCTTCTGAGGCTCGATGGTAACGGAAGGTGGAGGCGAGGAGGCAGCCCGTGCACAGTTCAGGATGGTAGAACTCCTTCCACTGACCATCATTTTCTCACAGAAAGAACAGTCAGGCCTATCCAGCACTGCCTCTGCATGACCACAGCCCAAGCAGAAAATACACATATCATGCGCGTCGGGGAGCTCAATAGGTCCACTGCACGCACAACACTCCTTGATGTACATTGTGTCTCTTCTGGGTAGCAGAAGGGGAACAGCAAGTGAATGTGGCGTCCTCTTAGAGTGTCGTCAACAGCAAGAAGCAATCCAATGCTTGTTTCTTGAAGGAGAAAGATTCTGAGGCAACGTCAATGAGCGCTAAGCTAAGCTTGTGTGCTCAATCGCCATTGGCCAGTAATTTTTACTTGCACAATGCAATCAGGCTTTGGTATTCGAGGGAGGAGGGGGGTGCCCTATAGCGTTAGCACGCAATGTCGAGAGACCGACTCAAAAAGATAATGGGGAGATATCGCTCTGAATTTGAAAAATCCACTAATTTTTCCATTTTTTTTCTAACATAATTTATTGTACATTCAACACCCAATTTAAGTTCATGCATAATCAGACCATGCATGACTACTAACTATAAAAAGAATTAAACTCTTCTTTTAGTTAACAGGCTTTTTTTATTCTGTTTACAGAAGTGATGAAAGGACCACAGATCTATGCACATTCTACATATGGTTTTTGTCTATGTCTGTAATGACTAAAAAACCACAATTATTGTGTTAGCTTCTATAATCAAGAGGTTGAAGTACAATACAATAAACACAAATATGATTAAGAACATTTTCAGTCAATCATTCAAATCAGTCATTATAGATTAAAGGAATAGGAATAGTAAATCATTTTTTTTCTATGGAAATTAATGGGGTCCATCAACTGTCTGGTTACCGACATTCTTCAAAATATTTTCCTTTGTGTTCAGCAGAAGAATGAAATGAAACAACTATAGGGTGAGTAAACAAAGAAAGAATTTTCATTTTTAAGTGAACTATTCCTTTAATTTGTTCCATTATTGAATGTGCTTATGTATGTCCAAGTTTGTGTTTGAATTGCCTTTTTAACTCTGCATGTGGGTGTACCAAATATGCAGGTGCAGGAGAGCACAAAAATAAAACTAATGAGGCTACGCTTACTTTTATCGCTTACTTTTACCGCCATGAGCCTCAGATGTTGTTTTTCCCTCCCCTGGTAAGCCTCTTGGAAGGTTCTTTGTCACTGCATCAACCTACAATGTTTATGTAATCTTTGTTAAAGAAAGAAAAACATTCACTAACTCATATGACCAGATGAATGATGCATCTCCTGTACGCACATAGATATACATGATATTATTTTACATGCAAATGTCATGGGTGTATGGGTTAACTCCAAAAAAGGTCACCTGCATAAATGTGGATGAGCTCATAGCAGAGAATTTCCCCAATGA